AATATTCCCTATGCACACTCAGCAGAAGACCTGGAACCAAATGTCCCTTTTGTGCCATTGATAGCTCAGAGTCATCAAAGGGACTTTTGGGAAGTTCCTGTTCATTGGGCCTTGGGCTTGGCTAGAAAGCTCTGGCATTCTCTCTCATAACACATCACACTCGAACAAAGCAGATCTCATGTGTAAGTCCTTCATTGGTTTTGATCCTAACTATAAAGGTGGAATCTACCCATCTTGGTAGACATCCTTGGAAATACCTTAGTCTATTTGTTCCTGGGTACAATAAGTGATGTCAATAGGCCCTGATGGAGCCATACATAGAGTTGGCCTTAAGTGCCACATAAAAGCCCTGCCTTGTTGCCCACTGTTCTAAGCCTTGGCAGCATCCTAATGTTCTTCTTCTTTGCCCAGGAAGACCACACCACCTTCCATTTACTGTGCTTTTAGTCATGATAGAATGTGTTGAACACTCTCCAGACTTCCTAAAGAGGTTTATTTCCTAAAACCCTGTTTGTCCTGATTCTTAATTGAATAGGCTTGGAAGGTACTTACTCTCAATGGAGCCCCATTACTGAGGACTGTTTAAAGGGAAACCAGATGTGTACGAAATAAAGTGAAGATTTATAAGAGGGAAGTGAGAGGATGATGAAGATGGTGATGGTGATGATGGTATTGCTGATGGCGATGTAATGGTGACGTGCTGACGGTAGCAATGGTGATGGAGGTGATGGGGAAGACAGTGATACTGAAAGGGGTGAAGACAGTGACAATGACGGTGATGATGATCGTGGTGATAACAGTGACAATCATGGTAATAACTGTCACAATGATTACAATGATGATCACAACAGGGATGATGACAGTGACAATGACGACAAAGGTTACACTGATAACAATTATGACAATGTCAGTTGTGCTGACAGTGATGTCTGGTTAATGATAATGAAGCTGATGATTGTCACAATGACAATAATGATCATTGTGGTGATGCCGATAATGCTGATGGTGCTGATGTTGGTGACAATGGTGATGGTGGTTATGGTGATGACAATAATGATAATGGTGGTGATGAGGTGACAGTGATGGTAGACACTGTCTCAAGCACCTTGTGCAGGGTGCAGAGATTTGCGCACAGTTGGTCATTAACACTCATCACAATCCCCAACTCTCCTAATAAGGAAACTGAGGCTCACTCAAGCTGTTTGCCTGAAGTCACACAGCTGGGAAGCAAGCCAGAGAAAAGAGCCCAGTGCTGATCTCTGGGCTCTGAGGACCACGTTCCTGAGCCCTTTAAAACATCCCCATCCACAGGCAAAGGGAGAAAGATACAAGTAAGGAGACACAAAGGTGAGAGACAGCATCTGCGCACCAGAGATGACTAGCTCCATAGACAAGAAGTCACACTACAGGCTGGTGGTTACTTGAAGAGAACAAACGTCAAATGAACACATTACCAAAAGCCAAATGAATGTCTCTGAAGCTGCTCAATGGGAAGCCGGAAAGTATTGGTCCAGCGAGGAGACTTCTTGAATGGGCCCCTGGAGGCTGGAAGGGCTAAGAGAAGACGCCATTTTTCTGATGTTTCTCACTGAGCAATGAGAGGCGTTAGCCCTTGGATCTGGGCTACTTGTGACTTCTTCCACAGACCACAATGGAACGATACCAACAGGAGGAACTCTGGGATGGGGTACAGAGAGCCTGTGTAGACCTCGCTCCCCATTCTGCCAAGCCCTCACTATTGGAGGCCTAAGACACAGCCATGTCACCCTGTCATAGAGGGTGCCTGATGAATATTTCAGAGCAAGAGCATTTGGCGGTACAACTCACCAGCATGTCCATAAGTCCTCAGTGACATAGTGCAAGACACAAGATGGCTGGCCATCTGAAAGCAGATGTCTTGGGGTGACTTATTCTCACAATCAAAGTTAGGTTCAGAGGCAAGGCAGAAATCCAACCACCGTCAGCAATCTTATGACAGCAAGACTCAGAGTGGTTTATTTCTCTAATGTCACCAGCATCCTGCGGGCAGGACTCTTTCTCTTTCCGGGATGCTTTGTCCTCATGGCAGCAAGATGACTGAAGGTGCCTCCATGCTCAGCTTGGTGACGATCCAAAGTCCAAGGCACAGCAGGGGCAGCCTCTGCTCCTTAGAAGACCGCGTACCACCAGGACAGGGTCACAAGACCATCTCTGCCTCAGAGAAGTCCGTAAACTGAGTACTTCGGGTACTAGACGGACTGCTCTGAGGGTGGAGAGGCAGACTGAATGCTGGTAAACCCTCTGGCACCAACTATCATGTCTAAGGCTTACCAGGGACTCAGTCAACACTGGCTGCCTTTTTGACACGTGACAGACTGAGCAAGAAGGACCCAAGATCAGATTAAGAAAAGTGTGGGGTCAAGAGCCAGAACTGGGGGTGAGAGGGAAGACAGAGAAGAAGGTAACATCTTCATAGTCTGGGTTCTGAGATGCTAAACATAAGCACGATTCTCAGGACTTGGGAGCTGGCGGCAAACTTGGATCAGACTGGTTGACCTTAAGGGAAAAAAGCAAATACATTTTTGCTTTGAAAATTCATTTAAAGAAATGAGGGGGTTATAAAAAGAGACCCTAGGAGCCTGGGCTTGCACTCTGCTGGGACATGCATTTGTGTCATTGCCCAGAGGTCCTTCTGAGACTGGCTTGGAGTACGTGTGCTGCCTCAGAACAAGATTTCACATGCTAATTGATTTCGCTCTCAGGGACACCACCCTGCCAGACAGTCAAAAGGTGTCTTTCCTTTCATATCATTGCCTCTATTAATGGCTCCCTGGATCCGCATGAGAACCTGGTGCCCTCCCCGATGCTTATCCCGGCCTGATGCTTCTTAAGTGTCCTCCTCCTCATTGACTGAGCAGCTTAAAACTTTCAGGATTACCAACTCTCCTTGAGGCCATTAAACTTTCCTCACTGGTGAGTGGGTGGGTGGGGGCTGGAACTGGGCTGGGAAACTACCAGAAGTCATTAAAAGTAATTTGGTTCCAGGTAATAATTATGATCCATCTGTACCTCGCTCTTCCCCAGCCACGGAGACTGCAGGGGCCGCCCTCCACCTGTATTTGTGGACAGGGTCCTAGGGAATGCTGGGTAAATGTGGCGAGGGAGACAATGGTGGTAGAAGCTATGAAGGAAGCAGGAACTCAGGGCATGTGGGTTGCAGTCTTCCTGACCACACAGAAAGGAAGGTGGGGTGAGTTCAGTTGGCGTCTCTCTCCTCGGTTCTTAGTGGTTCCTCATTGCCCAGGCACACAGCCATGCTTCCTGGAGTATGCCTCACAGAACACCCACTGGGGATTGCAGATGCAGGCTGAGCTGGTAACTGATGAATGGATAGGCAGTGTGTCTAAAGACCACAGGTACGGCCAGCCTCCCCTGCTGGGTGTTACCATGGAGCAATGAAGCTGTCAACTAACAGGATCCCACATTGTCCAAAGAAAGCAGAAAGTCAATAGCACCATGCCAGCATGGGTGGGGAAATTCTACAATGCCCCACCCTAGATGAAGAGCCACAGATAATCAGTGGCTTCACAGAGAGGGAGAATTAGCATGGACAAGCCTCCAATAGGTTATCCAGTCCCAAGTGGTCAGCCCTAAACCTGCGAGTTGTGTGTGTATATGTCTGTATTGCATATATATGTAACAATAATAATTAAAGAATAAGAAGTCGCCAGGCGGTGGTGGCGCAGGCCTTTAATCCCAGCACTCGGGAGGCAGAGGCAGGTGGATCTCTGTGAGTTCGAGGCCGGGCTGGACCAACAGCTTCCAAAACAATACAGAGAAACCCTGTCTCGTAAAAACCAAAAAAACAAAAAATAAAGAAGAGGTCATGAGACTGAGAGAGGAGGAGGGGGATATGGAAGGAGTTGGAAATGAGGGGGGCTAGAAATTATATATAGTATTCACACATGAAAGTCTCAAAAATTGAAAAGTAAATCCAAAACATGGACTTGGTCTTTCTTAGTTTTTAAATTTTGACAGTTTTAAAGTTCAAGCCTGGTGCAAGTTGAGCAGGCCCATGAGGACCTGTGTGGCCCGAGTGCCAGCAACGGCAGTCTCCCTGCCTATTACACACCTCCATCTGGGAGACCACAACGGTGCTGCGTTGTCCTCCTCCAGAACAGACAGGTTTGGCATTTTGGTTGCTTTGTTTTACTGAGTTACATTCTGACTGAACCTGCATTTCTTTCCCACTGGCTTTGCTTCCAAATCGAATTGCAATAGCTTCACGGGTCTGGTCTGAAGACTGGCTTGGCAGATAAGCGCACTTGCTGTTCTTGCAAGGGACCTGGGTTCCCAGCACCTACATGAGGGCTCACAAACACCTGTCACTCCAGCCCCAGGAAATCCAACAGTCTCTTCGGGTCTGCACTGGCACCTGAACAAACACACACACACACACACACACACACACACACACACACACACACACACACACACACACACACACAGACAGGAAGAAAACTCACAAAACCACAGGGGTAGAATTCCATAACTAACAAATTCCCAGTCAAATGAAGACTCTTCTTTTTGGTTGGATGCTTTCTGTTCAATCACAGTGTCTGTCTGTCTGTCTGTCTGTCTGTCTGTCTGTCTGTCTGTCTCTCTCTCTCTCTCAAACACACACACACACATTCTGTCTGTCTCTATTTCTATCTCTCTCTTACACACATATACATTCTGTCTTTGTTTCCCTCTGTGTCTGTGTGGTTTTTTTTTCCTGTGTCTCTTTGTCCATCTGTCTGTCTGTCTCATACACACATATATTTTCTCTCTTTTTCTGTATCCTTCTGTCTGTGTGTGTCTCTGTGTCTCTTTGTCTCTCTCTCTCTGACACATACCTACATTTTCTCTTTGTTTCTATTTCTGTCTCTGTCTTCCTCTGTATTTGCCTGTGTTTCTTTGTCTTTCTCTCCCTCTGTCTCTTTCCCTTTCTCTCTGTCTCTCCCTCCCCCCCTCTCTTTCTCTCGCTCTCCAGAAGACCCAGAAGAAGGTATTTGACCAGGACACATGGAGAGATGGCCAGAATCTACCAGCCAGTTCTCCATTGGCATAACATATCAAGATGAGTCAGCAGGAACCTCCCCAGCATCCAGTCCTATGGGTGAACAGTCTTTGCTCGCAGTCCTATGGGTGAACAGTCTTTGCTCGCAGTCCTATGGGTGAACAGTCTTTGCTCGCGGTCCTATGGGTGAACAGTCTTTGCTCGCGGTCCTATGGTTGAACAGTCTTTGCTCGCGGTCCTATGAGTGAACAGTCTTTGCTCGCGGTCCTATGAGTGAACAGTCTTTGCTCGCGGCTCTAGCAGCATCTTCGTCTCATTTAATCAAGCAGCTCATCTGCTGGCATGAAGGGCTCTGGTGAGCAGCAGGAAGCTGGAACACTGAAGGTAGACAAAGGGCCTGGCTCCCAGCGTCACTGCAGCAGGAGGAACGGGAAGGTTTTATCCACTGCCACAGAAGTAATCCACTTAGGCCTGCTCTTTGAGTCTGCCCTGGTGAATGCCACTCAACTCCAGAAGCCATGGGAGAAAACTTCCAGTTGGCCAAGTGTGGGCCAGATGACTGAGCCAAGACTGGAGGCAGGGGGACTTGAAGAGTAGACCCGCAGAGCATGCCCAATGCGGGGGAATTCCTGAGGTAATTGCTCACCAAAACTCATCTGCCTCCTCCTCCTCCCTGGCAGGCAGCTGGTCTGCATTGCCCAGGCTCCTTTGCCATTCAGTGCTAATTAACTATGTTCCCAAGCCCTAGTCCATAAATATGAGCTAAGGCCATCAGACCCAGTCTTTGGACACAGACCTTGCCCATGCTCCCTGCACCTTGTGGCTGGCTGGAATAGTGGCAGCCTGAGATGATTCATGATGTACATCAAAGACAGGAGCCTCAGATAACACGGGTCCCCTTGTGACCACAGGGAGAGGAGGACCTGCTCATCACAATGCTGTGGAGGACTAAGAGTGAGGGCTACTTGGGGTCAGAGCACTGGTGCAGTCCAAGCACAGGGAATAAGTTAAAGTGAACCTTGAAGGTGGCTGACATTAACACCCACCTTCCACATTATTTATTACACGAGAAAAAGTTTGGGGGACTCCAGCTTGGGTAGTTGGAAAAACAGCCTTGTAAAAGATCAGTGTAGGCCGGGCGGTGGTGCCGCACGCCTTTAATCCCAGCACTCGGGAGGCAGAGGCAGGTGGATCTCTGTGAGTTCGAGGCTGGGCTGGACCGACAGCCTCCAAAACAATACAGAGGAACCCTGTCTCGTAAAACCAAAAAAAAAAATAATCAGTGTAACAGGTCACAAGGGACTTGGACAGAGAACCCTAAATGAAGACATTTCTGGGTCTCCCTTCCACATCACATCTCCTCATCCCCAGATGGGCATGAATTCTAAAAAACCCCAACCAGAGGGACTACATGCTGCCTGTGCCGCCCCTGAGCGTGTTACTTTTGCTGACTTTGTGGCAGTATGCATGCCTAGTTCCTTTCCTTCCAGGTCACCAAAGTCTGTTGCTCCGGAAATGTGGCTCTGCTAGGGACCTGACAGAGACACACGGTCTCTCTGAGAGCTTGTGTGAGCATGAGAGAGAGGGAAGTGGCTGGCGGGCCTGCGCAGGCATCCCAAAACTGAGGGTAATCATGAAGTTTGTACACACCAGCCAGTGGGCACTAATTCTGCTGCCCATTAAGGTCTCTATGGGGGAAAATAGAGGGGCCCACCCACTCTTCCCTCCAGAGACACAGCCCCTAGACAGCCCATAGTTGGTCTCCTCAACTTCCTCCAGAATTTTGCCATTCTTGTTCCATTCCCTAATTGCTGGTTTTGTTTATCCATGAAGAATGGCAGGAAATATCTTCACCTGTCTCTGGTGTCAGAAGTAGGAATCTGTGTATCAAAAATGCCTGGAAACAAAATAACATGACCACCCATAGTGGGCATGATTTTTTTTCTAAGTTTGTTTTATGTATTTATTTATCTTGAAATAAGGCTTTATGGACCCCAGATTCCCCTCAAACTCCTTATGTACTCCAAGATAACCTTGAACTCCTGCTTCTCCTTCTCTGTCTCCTATGTGCTGGGATGACAGGCATGTACCACCCTGCCCAGCTGGTTACTTCTACATGATATGAATTTAAAGGGGGTTTTCTGCAATGTTCAGAAAAGGGCCAGGGTAATGACAAGAGAACCATGCTTTACCAGTTACTGTGGTTCAGAATCAAATGGGAATGGGCTTTCTTTCTCAAACAAACAAAAACAAACAAACAAACAAAAACCTCTATTCAAGGGATCATAAAGTCAAAGCCATATTTTGAAATACAAGTTTCTTAGGGCTGGAGAGGTGGCTCAGCAGTTAAAAACACTTGCTGTTCTTGCAGAGGGCTCTGGTTCAGTTCCGGCATGCATACTGGGTAGCTCACACCCACCTGTATTCCAGCCCCGAAACATGCATGCCTCCCTCTTCTGGCCTCACTCTGCACACGTGCACATATACACACAAATTTTTAAAGGATTTTAAAATGAGCTTTAAAAATCCAGCTTTAGCATCAGGTCTGACCCCAAGCTGAAACCTCAGTTTGAACAGCGAGAAGCCTGTGGATCTGGGGGGGGGGGGGGGATGCCCAGCTTTGGACTGAGGCCACCCGAGGTCAGTCCCAAATCTGTCCCATCTTTATTCAACTCTTCATCCTGCACCAAGCACAGGCTGCCTCAGAGCCTCAGGTGTTGTTGAGTCTGTAGGTTAGAGAAAATAACTCTTGGGTTTTGTGCCGCCTCTGGCACACCTTAGGGCTAATTGCCTGTGAATAGATGGGAAGTGAGCCAGGAGAGGTGGGAACGGGATTGTCTTGGGCACAGAGTGATCACAGGGCCCTTCTGTCCAAGAGTCCCTTAGCATTGCCTGTCATCATCCTGAGGTTCCTGGAGACTGCTCCTGTCCTACATACCCTCTGTGATGCAGGGACCACCCAGAGCCTCCTCCCACCCACCAAAGCAGAAAAAGAGCAGAAAGATCGGTACACGCTTATGCCCTAAGCTCAGGAACAGGGCTCCCTTGCTTTGGGGTGGGTGGAGGAGCCTCGGCCCCGAGGCTCTGTGTGGCAGTCTGAGTGTCTTGAAGGGCAGCCCAGGCCACCTGTACTTGCCTGAGAATGTGGATTTAGGGGGGGGGGGGATGCCCACGGACCAGAGTGGCATCTACCTCGTGTGCACCAGCCTGAAACAGAAGCGAACATACAGCGCCATAGCAGCTGTTGGGCAAGAGAAGCTCAGGAGAGCTGGGAGGTCGGATGCCGGGACTCAGGGATCCAGAACACTTCTAGTTCTTCCTCATGTGGCCAGAGGAAGGTGGGGGCTGATCATCCAGACCCCACCCAAGTCAACAGCCCCGATTCACCGCTCAAAGCGGTGAGAACAGACCGTCTTCCTGGAAAGCAGATAAGGGCCGGTGCACACAGCAGCACCAGGCCAGGAGCCCTTTCAAAGCCGCCGCTCCTGCCCCTCGGCTTCCTGTTTCCTGCCCTGCTCACACTTCCCCTCCCTTTGTCTCCCAGGCCCCAACAGCAGAGCTTCACGGGAACCACAGTGAAGTTCCCCAGCGATGAGATCAAAGGCCTCCGCGCCCCCGCCCCCCCCACACTTGTGTGTATGACCCATTGACTTCCTCCCTATCTTGTCTGGCTGTGTCACAGGCAGACAGACAGCTATCAGAGCCATGCAGAAGTTGCGCAGCTTCCCTGGGGCCTGGATGTGACTGTGGAACCACAGAAAACCTTGGCGTCCCAGAGACCTGCTGCTGATAAACTGATAAAGAGGCAGGGCTGTGCGTGTTTTCACAGGTCTCAGACCAAAATACCTGGAGTTAATTGTGCTTTTGGAGGGAGGGAAGGGGGGGGGAGATGGAGGGGGGGGGAGCTCAGCCTCTCTCACTGGCACCAGTGGCATGTGTCTGTGTTTTCCTAACCTGTGGGAGACTGTGTCCCGGTTCCCTGTGTGTGCAGCCTGAAAGAGCTCACACCGTGGGAAGATGGGTGTAGCCAGAACACAGACTACTGCCAGGTTCTCCTGGAAAATGTGCAGAGCAGCCAGGGTCCCCCGCCACCTGTCCAAGCAGAGGAAGGACAATGTGTTGGCTAGTATTTTTTTTGTCAGCTTGACACAATCTAAGGTCATCCTGGAAGAGGGAATCTCAATTGAGAAAAACACCCCCATCAGATTGGCCTTTGGGGGCCTGTCTGTGGGGGCATTTTCTCAATTAGTGATTGATGGGAGAGGGCCAGCCCACTTTGGGTGGGGTTACCACCTGACTGGAGGTCCTGGGTGCTATGAGGAGACAAGCTTGGGGTTGGAGGGATGGCTCAGCGGTTAAGAGCACTGACTAGAACACTGATTGTTCTCCCAAAGGACCCAGGTTCAACTCCAAACACCCACATTGGCAGCTCACAACTGTCTGCAATTCCAAGGTCTGATACCCTCACAGAGACATACAAGCAGGCAAAATACCAATGCACTTAAAATAAAACAAATGAACTATTTAGAAAGGAAGAAATGAAGAGGAAATCTATGAAGCCAGTAAGAAGTATTACTCCATGGTCTTTGCATCAGCTCCTGCCTCCAGGTTCCTGCCTTGAGTTGCTGCCCGGACTTCCCTTTTATAATGTACTACGAGCTATGAGCTCTAAGAGGAAAGAAACTCTTTCCTCCCCAAGACTGTTTTGATCAGTACTTTATCACAATAGAAAGCAAACTAGGACACACGGACAGCCCAGAACACAATGAACCTATACCCTGCTCCTGGGACAGGACACCACCTGCTTTGAGGTGGGTGGGCAGGTTTAACCTGTGCCCAGGGGCTCTGTCAGAGGTCACATACTGGGCCAGTGAGGGTTCTCAGAATACCCTCACCAATGTGCTTCAGGTATTCATAAAAGTTACCTACCTTGTGCTATTCCAAAGCACTGAACCCACCCCCAGGCTGTTTAGAATTCCCAGGCAGTAGGAAAAGGGAAGAGGGTCCCCCTGCTTCCGTTTTAGGCCTGGGGATGCACATCCTGGCAGAAAGCGGCTCCCTGGTTCAGACAAATCTGATCCCCTGATCCCTGAGTTCAGAAAAGCTGTTTGTGCTGTTGTTTTGATTTTCTCTTCCTAAAGGCGTCTGCACCGGATACTGAGCCTTCATTAGCACCTTCCTCTGCAAGTGCCTTTGTCTGCCTATGAGCTCAAAATAACCTCGGCCAGTCTGTGATGGGGTAGTGGCTTATGGTCACAATCAGGGAAACAATAGTGCGTATAGCCAGCCAGCTAAAGACCCAGGTCTCTGAGGAGGAACCCTGGCAGGAAGTGCACGTTCCTACCATCTCAGGCCTTAAGTCACCCCCAGCCAGGAGGGTGCAGATTCCAACTTTCAAAACTGTTCCCCTGAGTGTGGGAGACCTTGCAAAGGCAGATTTCCCAGCAAGGTTCTGGGCAGGCAGGAAGAACAGTGGCCTTGCCTGTCAGCCCACCTGACAGCTGGTCTGATTGGTGCCGTGTGTCATCTCCAAGTCTATTTCCTCATTTACTCTCATGGTAGCTCAGCAAGGAGTATGGCCCCCTGTTTACAGATTAGAGAACCTTTTGGCTCTGAGAGGTGAAGGCACCTGGGTGTGAAGGCCCAGCACATAAGTGGTCTAGGAGACCCCTGCGAAATTCCTTGGGTCTGTCTGTCACTGGGAAAAGTCAACTTAGAATCACAGAGAGGTGATATTGTCCGTAGTCCCCAAAGGGAACCATCTCATGTCCGCCAACTGAGGATGGACCGGCCAAACATGGTCTGGCACATGATGAGGCATGGCTCAGCTGTGAAGCGGGGTGAGGTACTGGTGCCTGACGCTGTGCGGATGGACCACAGAAGCGTGACATCGGTGAAGGAAGCTCAACAGGGAACCACCGGAAGTGTAATTCATACAAACAGGAAGTGCATGAGGGATGTATGGCTCTGGGACCAGGAATGGGCAGTGGCTTCAGAGCGTATGCATAGAGTTGGGGTGTCTCCCACAGTGATGTCAATGACCTGGGGGCCCTCGCCAAGGTGATATAGTAGAACACTCTGAAGGGCGGACACACACACACACACACACACACAAACTAGCCAGGACTGGTGTCACAGACAATACTCCTAGGTATTTGGGAGGCCGAGGCAGGAGAATTCCAAGTTCAATGTCAGCTTGAGTGAATAAGTAAGATCCTGTTTCAAAGTATAAAGCCAAAAGAGATCTAGGGTGTAGCTCAACAGTAATGTGCTTACCTGGACGATGTGAAGCCAAGGTTCAATCCCCATTACTGAAAAAATAAAAGTCTCTATCATCTGCATATCTATCTATCATCTACCGATTTTATATACATCTGTCAATCATCTATTTTCTAATCTATCTTCTATCATCTAGCTAACTAAACACACACACACACACACACACACACACACACACACCACAAGTAAAGAAAAACCTACCACTCTGAGATGCTCCCTCACCCAGCAAAGCTGAAGGGAATGGAAAAATGTGAACAGCAGTGCTGGACAGGGCAGCCGAAAGCTCTCACCTCAACAGCAGGAATGGGATTCGCTGCTGTGTGGCCTGCAGAGTCCTGCAACAGAGTCCTATAGACAACGCCCAAATGACAGTAATCTGTGTCTCAGGGACTGACTGGAGGCAAGGGCCTGGCTTTGTGTGCCTCCCCCAGAGGGCCCCTGAGCCTGTAGACTGGGTCTTCCCCCTGAGTCCTCAGTGCCTGGCCCTCTGTGCATGTCTGCATTCTGGTCTCTTCTTGCAAGGATACCTGTCAGAGCCATCAGGGCCAGGGTGGCCATGCCATTTTGTCTTACTTATCTCTACAAAGCTGTGACTCTAAGCACTCTCACCTTCTGAGGCAGTCAGAATTGGGGCTTCCATATAGGAACTGGGGAGGGGTGATTGAGCCCTATAAAGTTCACTGTGGTGATATATTGTTTATGATCTAATAAAGCTTGCCTGGAGATCAGAATGCAAAGCTAACCAGAGCCATAGAGGCCAGGCGGCCATACTAGTCAGCCATGGAAGGGGGGGGGCGGTGGCGCATGCCTTTAATCCCAAGCACTAGAGAGGTATGTAAGGCAGGAGCAGGGTCTCAGACCTGGGATTCAGTTTCCAGTCATGGTGAGGACAGGATTGCCGTTCCAGCCTTGGTAGAGGTAAGAGCTACTGACTGGTTGTTTTGCTTTTCTGATCTTCAGCTTGAACCCCAATATCTGTCTCTGGGTTTTTATTATTCCTGGTACAGTTTGCTGGGAGGATTCACCTGCCAAGCCCGAGGAGAGTATGCACCTGCCCCATAAGCCACCATCTCCGTCCTTAGATGGAAATCCCAGCAGAGTAAGACAACATATGTGGGCTGGAATTACTCATGAACTTGACTCAGAGCAGTGTTCATCGCGGGAGCCCCACACCATAGACTACCGGTGTCTAGCGGGTGCTGGGTGGACATGACTCTAGGTGCCTATGAAGCATGACACAGCAGGACGAAGGGAGGAATTCCAGCTCTTGCTACACATGGATGAATCTCAGAGACACTGCTATAGGAGAGTGACCAGACAAAGTGACACCTGCAGTTTGGTTCCCTTCTTAAAAACTAAGACCAAGACTGGAATAATGGCTGTCAAGACTGAAGGTAACTGGCTGGTGAAGGGCAAAATGGAACTTTCTGGAATGATAATGTCCCCCTCATCTGATGGGATGGGGATGACATAGATGTTTATATCTCACCACATTTCATTGTATTTCCCTTTTAATAAAAACCACCTAATGTATAAATGCACATTATATATTTCACCTCCATAAAATTCAGTTCTCAACAAATCAAATTCTTCTAGGTGAGTTGGAGTATTCAGCCCCAAGTGGAATACCTTCCCAAACACCCCAAGGGACCATCACTAAAGAAGTAGAGGAAAGAATGAAAGAGCTTGTGATGAGGAGGAGAGCTAGGAAATGTTGCCCTCTGAACGTGACATGACCATTGCACCTAGGCACCCACAACTGCTGTCTTTACCCGCACAAGATTAAGCCAGTCAAAAATCCAGCATAGATGGGGGAAGAACCTATAAGGCCCCACCCCTAATTTTTAAAGCATTGCCGATTGATATTTTCTGGAGAGGGAAAATTATTCTTCTTTGGGATATGACTGTTAGTAGGTTGCCCATGCTCCAGCACTAATTGGGCTCAGTGAGTTATTTAAAATAAAATAAAATAATAGAATAAAAGGATATCAAGTGGGGAAGAAGTCATGTTGGGAAGGGCATCAGGGGAGTTGGAGGGTAAAATGGGCAGGAGATATTATAATCATATATGAAATTCTCAGATAACAAATTCAACTAAATAAATAAACGCACACCACAATAAAAAAAATAGCCCTTAGAATACATCCTTTAAGGCCGGGCGTTGGTGGCTCACGCCTTTAATCCCAGCACTTGGGAGGCAGAGGCAGGCGGATCTCTATGAGTTCGAGGCCAGCCTGGACTACCAAGCGAATTCCAGGACAGCCTCCAAAGCCACAGAGAAACCCTGTCTCGAAAAAACCAAAAACCAAAAACCAAAAAAAAAAAAAAAAAAAAAAAGAATACATACTTTAAAAAGAAAAACAAAAATGAAAGAAAGAATTGTATCCTAATGGAAAAATGTAAAGGAAGCGGGGAGTAAGGACCCAGGCTCAAGTTGTGGCTTCCCAACCCCCTGCGTGAACCTCGTGTCCATCAGCTCATTTTCCTGAAGGGAAATATCAGGCATGGCAGAATTTCTCAAAACCATTCTTCCCACCTGGCTGAGCAAGCCGTTCACTCACCCGCCGGCTCCTCCATTCCTGGTGCCTGTGTTGCGTGCATGGTGGGACAATGTCCTTAACCCTGAGCTTTGCAGATCTGACATTCCCACAGGGCCACAGAGCAGCAGTTGTCACCTCTGGGTGCTGACCAGCACTGTGACAGCTATGAGGGGTGACTGTGTGGAGCAGGGCGGGGGTGGGGGCGTCTCAGGTAGGGATGTCATTTGTATGAGACAACGTTGCTGTCTCCAAGCGAGTACAGATCAGAGATCCAGCTTAATGCCCTACCAGGCATAGGACAGCCCCAGGGCCAAGCTTCACTGTCACTCTCCCTGGCTGTCAATCTTCCTGAGGGTGGAGACTGAGAGAGAGAATTCTGAAGCGCCTAGTCTTTGCATTGTCCTAAGTGTGGAGAGTCACTTTAGTTACTAATGGGGTGCCCAGAGATGGTGCATGCTGAGGCCAGGTGACAGCTCCCTGTCTGAGGTAGAACAGCCCTGCAACCATAATCAAGACAGACTGCAACCTGGTCACCAGTGCAGACCTGGAGGCTGCACCATGCTCAGCGGCGGGGGCGGGGGCACGGGGCAGGTGTGGTACGTACTCTTCTTAATGGGCCAATGAATGTACAAAGCCATTTAACTGAGGGACACGATGTAGCCATATGCTCAGCGCCACCCCCACTTTTACACACTCACCCAGACATTTCATAATATGCAAACCCCACATTTCAGTCTTTCCCCGGTGGATAGGGAGAAACTGCCAGCCCAGGGTCAGCCTACACATGACCATTCAGGGACACCCAGGGCTGCCATGCTTTGTCCCCATGGGCAGCCCTTTATGATGTGTTTGGGAGTGGGGGGACTGAAAGGACATTCATTAGAACATGGAAGGCTGCTAAAAAAATAAATTAGTCCCTCTCTTTTTGAATTGTCTTTCTGTGGTCACATGGTGCATTGTAGCCAGAATAGTGAGACTGGAGAGAGTAGACAAGCTCTGTCAGGGTCCTGGACAGAGAGCGGGGACAGTCCTCCAGAAGGGGACCCAATGTAAAGTGGGATCACCCACCATTCACTGTTGGAAGGTGCGTTCTAACGGCATATATGTATGCTTACTCTACCTGGTAGTGCAGGCCTATAATCCTGGCACATGGGAATCGGGGGCAGGTAGATCTCTGTGAGTTCAAGACCAGCTTGGTCTACAGAGCAGATTTCTAGGACAGGCTCCAATGATACACAGACAAACCCTGTCTCCAAAAAAAAAAAGTCAGAACCTAAAGAGAGGCTAAGGGTGGGAGGGATGTGGCTAAGACCTCTATGGCTCTTCACTGACTCTCCCCTGAGTGACAATTGCACACAGGTTAACAGCAGAGCTAGACCCTTGGACCATCACCTAGCACAGATCACCCAGAAGAGGAAGCACTTAGCACAGGCCACCAGTACTTCTGTAATGTTCCTGTCTTGGTTGCCCAGGCTCATTATCAACTGTGAGATAGGATTAGCTGAGTCTCTGTAGGCTGGTCTCCAGGGTAACAGGGATGTGTGAAAACTGTGTCCCTTGAAGTGGGATAGCCTTTGAGAAAGCAGGTTTAAAATTAGAGGGCTCTTGAATGAGTTCAGGGAATTGCACACACTACTCAGTCCTTCTGTCACGACTGAAGAAAAGGGAAGAAGTGGAGAGCCCACCATACAGAGGCAGTGTGCAGGGTCAACACCCAGCAAGCTTTCTGCCGTCTGGCTATTTGGTGATTTACAGGGTGATTAAAGACTTCTGGGAGGATCTCTGTCCAATTGAGGAAAAAGTCTATAATTTTCTCTAATTGGCCCAGAGAATTAGCAACACCCACCTTGGGCATCAGATAGGCTCTTCATGCCCCCAGTGGCACCCTATAAAAGATTCTAATGTTTTCCCGTACCTGGAGTTGGCCAAATCCATCTCCGAGTACTTGAATCAAGAGATTTGCAGGGCCCAAGGAGGAGTCAGCCATGCTCAACCCAAGTTCAAACTTGCCTCCTACTAGCAGCCAGCTGGGGAGGTCAACAGACATTCTGTAAAATGTCTCCCTGTCTTGCCAAGTGGGGAGAATTAGACAGCCCTGGTTAAACCCAGTGTGTCACAGAATGAAACAAATAGATATGAATTTGAGAAAGAGAGTGATGGGGAAGGGAAAGAGGGAAGAGTAGGGAGAAAGTGGCGGCGAGAGCGATTGGTAAGCATTATGTTTATGAATGAAATTGTCACAGCGGTCAGCATGCAATCTAAGAGATTGTAGACTGCTCAATCCTAAATGGAATATACCAACACACACAAACACACACACACACACACACATACACACACACACACACACACACACACACACACACACACGAAGGTTCGGGAACTTTTCAGTAAAGGGGCATGGAAAGATTGTAAGAGCTGGAGGTGGTGAATAACTTCAAGAACACAATGTTTCCGGACACAGCAGGGCAGCTGCACACTTGAACTCCCAGCAGGTGTGACAGCCTGCACAAGACTTGTCCAAGCTCAACCCAGACAAAAGTTCTAGCGTGGAGTGGGGGAGGGGCACAAAGCCCCACCCCTTGCCAAGGAGCTGTTGGCATTTGGTTGCTGATAGAATCAGTCTTTCTAAGGACAATAGGACCCCCTGCAAGGTCGGCCACACTCCAGGGCTGTCTCCACTCCCAAGAGAAGATGTGGGGAAACAAGTTGCATTAGATGTGGGAAAACAAAACAAAGCAAAAGCAAGAGAAAATTCAAACTTGGCTGGGTAGGGAGGGAAGGGTAGAGAGGGAGGGTGGAAGGAGTTGGTCAAAATGGGGTGAATATGGTCAAAGTACATTGAATAGAACTCTCAAAGAACTAATGAAACTATTATTCAAAATAGACAAATAACAAGCTTAATTATTTAAAAAGAACTATGTAAAAGAACACAAGTACTTACACTCTTTCTTTGGGAAATTGTTACTTTTAACAAAAGATATTTGTGAATGTTTAAAAAAATAGGGTCTAGTTGAAGGGAGGGAACCCCTAGGGGTGATTCCCCAGGATATTTTGTCCCTGACCCCTTCCAGCCATGCTCTCTGCCTATTAC